ATGCATCAGCTGTTGGCTTGTTGCCATTAGAATTTCTTGCAACTTGTCGTGACCGTTCATTCAATTCTTTCAGCTGCAAACATTGTGTCAGAATCCAATTATTGTATAAAGGGTGCACATGCTTACGTCATATTCCTGACGTTCGTGACGTTTCTCGAGGTCGTATTTATCTGTTTCAAGCCTACAGATACGGTGATGTAGCTCCTTGATCTTTGCCTTCAGTTCATTCTCCGGAATACTTGACACTTCGGGAATACTATTACGAATTCCAACCAAGAAGTGCTAAATGTGATACTTCTTAGATTTCTTTTAACTTTTCTGTTTGCTCAGTTACTACTAAGGAGGTAGACAATCAGATTTTCGTAGTACTTTTTTTTTGTTTATAAACAAAAGCAGACTTTAATTTTGGTTTGCTAGTTTAATGTGAGTGTGCTGCTTTTTTACAGAATTCGTTTTATAATTGCAGGCACGATTGTAAAACAAAAGTTTTAGGCTCAATTTCAAATTATCCTTAAATTATTTTCTCAGCTTTCCATCCTTTCTTTGTTTTTTGAATTAATTTCTCATCCCTACAATGTAGTATCTCTGATAAACTCTGCCAATAAAACTTTTTCAAACCTTTTTGGCCTCGTCTTGTTGATCTTTGGTCATGCCCATTTCTTGTTTTGCTTGCACAATGTTTCCAAACTTATCCCCTTTTTCGGCCTTTGTCGGGACGACGAAGTTCCTACAGAAAAAAACCCTTCTACTGATATCTTCGTATAAATCTCTATTGTCCAACCTTCCACCCTGACCGCCTTGGCTAACGAAACTCATCTGCTGTTTCTTGTTCCTCTCTTCTTCCTTCTTTCTCTTTTCCTCATCTTGACGAACTCGTCGATCTTCCTGCAATGAAAAGGCCATATTTTGTGCTACGCTTGTATATTAATGTGGTGAATGCTACCTCCTCTTTCTTTCTGCGTTCATCATCCAACCTTTTCTTTTCGGCCATTTCTTTTTCT